GGAACATTGGGTATGTCGTGTAACATCCCCCCTCCCCCTCCGTGGCTTCCTAAAATAGGCAAGCCCAGGCCTATCTTAGGCCTTAGCACTGACTGTTCCCTCTACCTGGAGCTCTGTTTTTCTGGTCTAGGCAGGACTTTGTGTCCTTTCAGGTCTCAAAGAGACCTCCCTGATCAGCGTCCAGTGGCACCCATCACTCTCTATCACCTTTTTTTCACTTCTGACAGAGCATCTATAACTCCCTGCTCTTAATTATCGATCACCATCCCCCAACCCTAACCCCACCACTACACACACCCTAAGGCTGGGCTGTGCACACCACAGCCACCAGCTAGACATGGCCATGAGGTGCTTGAAATGGGGCCAGTCCAAATTGACACCTGCTCTAAGTGTAGAAAATAAACAGGGGATTCCAAAGACTTCGCACACACACACACAAGAATCTAAAATATCTCAACAACTGTTCCTATATGTTGAAATGATATTTTGGAGATATTAGGTCAAATAAAAAAACACTATTAAGTTACTTTCACCTGTTTCTTCTTTTTTTTTTTTTATTGCCTACTAGAAAATTTAAAATTACACGTGGGTTTGTGTTACACCTCTACTGGGCAGCCTCTCCACAAGGTCAAGTCCAGGGCTCAGTCACCAGCTCCATCTTCAGGCCCTACACCCCCGGGGCCCAGGGAGAAGCTCTGAGAAAGGTTTGTTAATGGAATAATAATGAATTGTGAAGAGAATCCCGTGACCTTTTCCCAAGTAAAGCTTCATTCACTTATGTTCAGCAAAGCAGTTCCGCCAGATCAGGGCGTGGAGTGTCTTCCAGGAGCCTGTAAAATAGCATCCCCGTTCTGAGGGTTCCAAGAGCTTGACTCATGAACGCCCCGACCTCTGACGACCTCAGGAGGCCAAGACCGCTATTCTACTCTTTTCTGAGGAAACTAGAGTTTGGGGGGTCACACCTTTTCAGGGCCAGAGAGCGGTGACATCTTTCTGGAGCCCAGTGACCTAAGCTTGGGAGCACTCTGGAGGAGGGGCAGGATTGCGGGGAAGGGGCGAAGCCGAGGGGATGGGACCCTGAGCGAGGGCAGGAGTGGGGAGGTGGAAAGACAGAGGATGAGGGACAGGACTGGAGGCAGGAGGGGCGGGGAGAGGATGCAGAGTAGGGAGGATCGAGAGA